TAGTACCTCCTGGAGACAGCTGGTGGAAGGGAGGTGACCCATAGGCCAAGGTAGCCATCCCTTGCTGCACAGACCCTAGTGTCCCTGCCCATGGAACTTTCTGGGCCTGGCCTGGCTATGGCCCCTCGCTCAGCCAGAGTAGTCAGCTATCCCAGACCCTTATTCTGCGGCACACTGGAGTCTCCAACACACAGTGAACAAAGGAAATCAATATTGATGGCGCCAATTTAATGGCAGCAGAACAGCGGCTTAAGGTACAGACCTCACAAGCAGATGATCAGGAGGTCAAAATAGTCTCCTCATCTCTCAACACGAGGGGACTGGGACTTGTATTTGAGGCTACCTAAAAGTGGGATTTGAGAGCCAGAATGACAGGAGGATTTTTCCTAAATTAGAAAGTTTGAAGAATTTCTAACATTTAAAATGGGTTGGTTGGGTTAACATTAATATTTAATGTGACTTAACTAACAATATCTTCAGGTAACTCGAGACAGTTAAAAATAGCATTGAAGTCAACAGAAACAATGGACAAATGAAGTGTCCCATCCTAACCAGAAAGATGTCTACACTTTGCTAAGTCCATGCTTGACATGGCGGCTCCATGGAATCTCTCTTTCTTGGGCAGAGAAAAACAAGCTTCGTTTTAAGAACTCAGTCTCTGCAGAATTCACATTTTTAAGCAAGGTAATACACACTCTTCTTCCCAAAAGCTTATTATGTTGTTTAAAATGCATAACGTATGAATATTAAATCACAAGAACTATAGCAAATAATACCACCCAATTGTCATGTAGATTTTCTCCCAAGGAACAGCACTAAAAATATATACAAATACACTCAAACTACCCAGGCTACATGGAGTTCTTTTGGAATTTTTTAAAAACTTATATTTAACCCATATGCTTCTCATGTGATTTTCCTTTTTATGGAAATGCAAGCTCTGTTTTAGGCATTTGGAAGAAACTGAGTATATGATGATGATAAGGGAAGGGAAGCAGTATTTAATAGTTCCATTCTGAATCATGCTTGAAAGTTACTTAGAATGGCTTACGAATGAAACTCTTCCAAAATGAGCCCCATTAGAACAGAGAGAAAGCAAGCAGGACTGAATTAAAGTATACAGTAACTAAGTTTTTCATATACTTTGAAAGAATGCATCGACTTTTAGTATCAATGAATATTGCCAAACAACCAAATAATAAAATATCATTCTTAACTTACACGGTTAATGAGCTAATACTTGCCCTTGCAGTACTTAGCTAAAAGCGAAACACAAGCTAGGGGATGGCATTCCAACCAGAAAGAAGAGAAAGTTAGAACTAGATAGAGTGTCGTCCATTGCTTGGGGGAGGGGGAGGGAAAGGAAGAAAATTAAGGTAGGAGAACCTTTATCTGTCTTTTCAGGATGGAAACAGATGGTCAAAGATAGTCATTTCAAGAGAGGGGGAACCAGGGATGGGAGACTGAGGCTGGGGAGAAACGGGGTCAGGCAGGTGCCTTTCAACCTCCAGTGCCCTGGGCTCCCAGGAATCAGCCTTGGTGTGTCACTGCCATTTGGATGAACCAGCTCACCTTGCCTCCTCTGCCCAGGACACTGAGGTCCGTCCAGGACAGCTCAGGCCAGTCCTTCCATCCCCTGCTTGGCCTCCAGCTCTCAGAACAGACTAAAAATGTGGGAGGCTGAGAGTGACTTTAGGGAACAAACAGGGAGATATGGTCTCCTGTTCCTCTAGTTACTCATGACTGGCTGAATGGATGACCTTCACACCCTGTGACTAAGCCACCTCGCGAGATACTGGAAAGATCAGGTGTGGCGAAGGTCATGGAAATCCCCACTGAATGGCGTGCTACCTAGAGCCCGTTGTTGATAAAGGTGTGCGCCTGCCGGGCTCAGTGAGAAAGACGGAAAGTGCACAGAAGGGCGGGGGGAGAGGGTGGCCGCTCAGCCAGCACACCTGCCCTCCCTGGTTCCAAAGTAGCACAGGAGTTGCGACTTGAAGGACAGGAGGAGGGGGCGCTCTGGAAAAGGGGACAGTGTGCGGACAGGGCAGCTCACTAGCAGAAGCACATGACAGAGCAGAAGAGGCAAGTGAGAGGTGTCTGTAGTAAAAGGGGCTGGCTTTGGCCAAAACTTAGGTTGGGGGGCTTGGGGGAGAGAAGGCCGAGGGGTGGCAGGTTGGGGGGGAGGTGGGGTGCGGAAGGGGCAGCAGGCGGGGTGGGGGCAGGGGCGGCAGGCTGCCCAAGGCCTTACTGTCTCACGTTACTGATTTCTTCAGTTGTCCATTCCCTGACCTCAATCTCTACTTGTTTTGCCGGTTTTCCCAAGTCTCTGGGGCTCAGTAGACCCTCAATAAAGATACGATAGAAAAACAAATATGTAGTTGCTGTTCATTAATAACCACCGTGGACCCTATAAATAAACAACTGTTTCCAACTCCGAAGCAGCTGAAGCAAGAAAGCGATTTCAGGAGCCAAAAGCAAGCCCCCGGCCACTACAGACGCATTAGTTGTAAGAAGTGATTCTTTCACATGAACGAATTTTCAGGACACAGTGAGAATTCTCCAAACTCCAGGTGAAAGGATTTGTAACCAAGGGCGCCTCCATTATGTCATCAGGGTAGTAATTTAAGATGTAAATTAAGAAATGGTTTTATAAGACATAACCAAATATATGTTTTTCCCGTATTGGTCTTTGCTAATCATTCTTACCGTTCTTGAAGGGTTATAACATTGCTAGAATAACCTTAACATTGGATATTATTTTCAAAAGTTACACTTGTAGAACTGTTTGAAGAACCATCATTTTCTTCAAAGGGATGCTGAGAGCAAAGGAGATACTCATCCTTACTGAGGAAGTGCCCAATCATGTCATTTGATTTGGTTGTGTGTGTGTGTGTTTTAAATACCCACAAATAAAAATCTAAAACCTAATAAAAAAGGCCACCTCTTTCAAGTCCCCAAGAGCAACAGTGGCTTTCAGGAGATCAAATAGGATTAGACTCCTTCTGATCTTTCACCCAACATCCATCCTCTTTCACACATTTTATAGAACATAAATAATGACAATCTTTAAAAAAAAAAAAAGCAATAATGAGAAAGAGCTATTTTGACCAGACACCAGAAGGCCTGCTCATGTAGAAGTAATTATGGGGAGAAGAGCATGGCCTCAAAACTGAATCTGGCCGCCGCTCCTCCTGGGGCGAGAATGAATTTGGCCCTCTTGCTGGCACCCACAGGCAGACTCTCCACGGATGGGTCGCATGGCAAAGCACCAGACGAGGAGAGAGAAAGCAGTGTAAACTTCCTGCAAAGCAGCACCATTTAGTTGATGACACACTATTTTTTTTCTTTTTTTAGTCCTGGAGAAATAAATGGTAATGAAAACCAGACTAGGGCACCGAGATCTGGCTTTTGGCTTCAGGACACTAAGGGAAAAAAAAAAAATCTCTTTAAATTTGGCCAAGTCTTTTCTTCCAACAGCTGCTGACGATTTTCACACAGTGGCAAACATCACCTTCCTGGCGTCACTAACGGAAAAACTGGTCTGCCCCTGGCCATGGTACCAGGACACGGTCACTGCTACGCTCAGCTCGGGCCTCCCCACGCCACCCCCCCCCCCCCGCAGCCCCCTAAACTCGTGTTCTTGTATGTCTCTATGACCAACAGGAAGAAAATTAACTACTAAAAAAAGAAATGGAATTATACAAAGGAACAAGAGAACCAAACTTTTAGTTATGGAAATTCCTTAAAATCTTAATGTGGAGGTCTTCGGAAGGAAAAACAAATCAGTTCTTTGAAAAATATCCCCCAATGTATCTCCTCCTTTCAGTCTGACTGAGAACTGATGTCATAGAATTTACACATCAGTGGATTTGTATGGTTGCAGCAAAACCACAAAGCTTGGAAGACAGATGAAAGTACATTGTTCTACCAAATAAGCCAGGGGCAGCCATCAGCAACATGAGGCAGGAGGGTCTCTGTGTTCAGGGCAGGATCTAGCTACCTCAGGGTTATAAAATAATTCAAACAGCAGCTGCTAGCACTACTTGCTGTCTAAATAAAGAGGCAGGAATGAAAAAGAAAAGGCATCCCAGGATAAAGGAGGTCCACGAATGGGCTTTTTGCTTTTTTCTTTTTGAGGGTGGGAGGATTCTGTGCAGCCCCTTAAATAGCATATATCCATATATTCATTTTTCTGGAGAGAGTATCTACAGCTGTCAGAAGATTCTCAAAGAGATCCCCGACCCCCGCCATGTGGTAAACAGTACCCAGAGCCCTCACCATCAGTGGCAGATTTCCCTCTAACTACATCATCAAACAGATGGTGTTTTACCCTTGTGAAAAAAAAAAAAGTTATAATATTATAATTGGTGGGCTATTCATGCTCAAGCAGTGCTGCAGTGATAAATCTCTATAACGATTTTAAATTGTAAAATGATCCTCCTGGTTCCATAAATATATTACATGCAGCGGTTGTAAAAGGGGCTTCTCATATAAAGCATCAAAGGACAGCTTTGGTGCATCATTAATTTGGTATAGAACCAACAAGCTACTCTGAATAAATATTAATTAATTAAGGATTAACTGAACAGTGTTGTTTGTCCCCCTGACAATTACAAAAGCTTTCTCAGGGGAGATGTGAGGTAGAGGCTGCTTTAAAGACAAAAACAAAACCCCGAGATCTGAGGGAATGCCTCAACGACAGAGGATCCCGAGGTCAATGTGGACGTTGCCCCCAGATGGTCAGTGCTGGGCACCGGCACGTGGAAGCGAAGAGACGGCCCCCCGGGTGGGGACAGGGGGCACAATCCACAGCCTCAGTGTGGGGACTGAATCAAAACCCACCCTGCCAAGAGGCCTATCAGGAGACCAGGTTCGAGTGGCATCCTCCCCATGTTAGCGTCCTTCTTCCCCAAACGGTCTGTGCCCCTTGCCTCCAGACACTGCACCAGGAACAGGCCTCTCTGCTCAGAAGCGAGAGAGAGCAGGACGTCACTTACCAGATGCAGGTGGCTGGTCGCTGGAGGCGCTTCCAGACCCAGGGCCCCCCCGCACGGAGCCGGGGAGCCTTCGTTCAGCCCCGTCGGCGGGCTGGCCAGGCCCGGCGGCGGCATCTTCGGGCGCAAGGCTCATGCCATAGGCACACTGGGGCAAGGGTCCGCTTTGCAGCGAAGCCATGCGGGGTTCCCGGGCCTCCCCAGGCAGGTTCCCACAGTTTGCACAGCCCTCTGCCGAGCTGCCGCGGGCTGCCCCCCAGTGGGGGCAATGGCCACCCTCCACTTCTTTTTGCAAGTCCTTTTCGGAGGCCGTGGGAATCCAATCAGTCCTGCACGGGGGCTCGGCGAAATGGCAGCTTTCAGAATCGGCCAGGCTCTCTGTCCCAGTGAAGCACTGGCTCAAACTGTCATTCTCCCCCACCTCCAGGGGCTCAGGGAAAGGGGGTGTGGACTTGCTCCCAGGCTGAGTGAGGAACAGCGAAGAGTCTGGGGTCTGGGAGGGCCTGTCCACATACTCGTCTTCCATGGGAATGTGCCGGAAGGGGTCCCCCTCGAGCTCGCTGACCAAGGGGAGCACCCTGGCCCGGGGCCCGCCGCCCGCACACGCACCCTCACAGACACCGCCACTGTCTGGACAGCACATATCTTCAGAGAACATCTTCTCTTCCAGAGTCAGCAGTAGGACACCTTCACAAATTTCACGCTGACTAGAGGCTTCCACGTGAGTGTTGCTGAAATTGTTGCCCAAGGACTCCTGCTGATGTAAATTCAGAAGGCAGAAGTATTAATACCCAGAGTTATTAGAACGTCTTTCTGCTAAACATGGCTGAAAATGGTTCAGAATAATGATTTCCACCATAACAAGGACATAACAAACACTCATTATGGTGCTTTATTTGTGTTATTTACAATTCCAGAGCGGGGAGAACCCTAAAATGGAATATGGGAACCAGGGAGTCAAACCGCATTTCAAACGAATAGCATGTTTACACTAAAGCAAAGCGAAGCGCTAACTCAAGTAACTTTAGAACACAGTACTTTGTCCAAATACATTCGATCTAAATTAAAAAAAAAAATACTGTAAACAAATAAGGAACTCTAGTTAGTAGCTTTGTTTTCTCTGTAGTATGGTTTAATAATTCTGAAAGTACTTTCTGTGTATTCTGGCACTGAGCAAATGAGTAAACATATTGAGAATAATAGGAGCCGGGCTTCGTCCTGTTGGAGAAGGAAAGATTCAAATCCAGGGAAGGGAAAGACCAAATGAATCCTGTGGTGTTGGGACTGGAACTGGAAGAATCAGGAGGAGCTCACGGTTTAAAATATATATTCTTTATGCCACAGACAATAGATCTAAGGGACATAATGGGATAATCAAAGATATTTTTAATATCACATGTGGATCAGATAATAGTTGGTACCACGATTACATTTCTTGATTTTGATAAATGTACTATGGTTATGTAAGAGAATGTGCTTGTTCTCAAGAAAATCACACTGAAGTATTTAAGGGTACAGAAGCATGATGTCTGCCATTCACTCTAAAATGGTCCATGAATAAATACACACATATACACACAGAGAGCAAATGATAATGCAATGTGATAAAGTGCAAGCAGTTGGTGGGTCTGAGTTTAGCATGTGTGGCAGTTGGGTTTTTTTTTTTTTTTTGGTACTATTCTCACTGCTTTTCTATAATTTTGATTATATCAAAATGAAAAGTTAGCAAAATAACTAAAGAGTAGAGGGAAATGGCAGGTCCTTCCTCCTTGGAACCTGTCCTAGGCAATCAAGATCAGCGCTAGAACAACAACATAAATAATGTATGTTCACAGAGATGAGGAGGGGAAGGAAATGCAAAGAAAAGAGCATTTACAATGGGCACCCACTTGGGCTTTGGGTTATTCTGCGGGGATCAATCCTGGGATTTGAGGTTCCACCCCTCAAGGAAGGACCCCGTTCACAGTGGGTGAACTAATAACAGCCACATCAGCCTAAACCATTAAAAGGATGTTAAGGAGGCAACTTAAGACTTAAATTTACCTTATTTCCACTTAGGCGGCCGCAAGCCTCATTGACCCAGTGCCACAAATTAGCTAGAAAAACAAAGGATAAGAACTTGATATTATTTCATCTAATTCAGTATTATCAATCACTATGTCAGCTCAGTATTTCTTTAAACACAGGCCTCTGCAAGTCTTTCAGTGAGAGTTCCTGAAAGTGAAAACATTTAAAAGAAAAATCAACCAATTCAAAGACTCCTCCTCCCCCAAACAGAACTTTCTGATCTATGGAAAGCAAAGCATCCTCTGGCTAATGTTCCACTGAACTCCTCTGGGCACACTCAGAGCTGCTGTTAGGACTGGAAGCATTCTCATTCCCTTTGCCGCTTTCCCGTGACTCCGAGGGACGGGGCGAGGCACTGCAGGGGAATGACGAAGACACAGGTCCAGGCATTGCCCTTCCAGTAGACTAGCTCACATGGATGTACGATAAAGGAAAAGGGCAGACCGGAAGGTGGTCAGACCCCAATGAGCTCCAGGGGGCCTCAAATCCTTTTCCACTATACCTGGTTGCTTCTCAGGAGGAAGAGTTATGTTCCGTGGCATAAACAAAGCACATCTCCCATTAACTTTTAAAAACAGAAGTGACGGGATTCCTGAGCAGCTTAATTAGTTAAGCATCTGCTTTCGGCTCAGGGCTCAGGTCATGATCTCAGGGTCCTAGGATGGAGTCCTGCATCAGGCTGCCTGCTCAGCGGGGAGTCTGCTTTTTCCTTTCACTCTCCCTCTGCGTGCTCTCTCTCTCTCTCCAATAAATAAATAAAACCTTTTTTTAAAAAAAGTCAGATCTACGAACTGAAAAAAACCTATGAATTTATGTTCTACAAAGATACAACTTTACCCCACTTCCACTGACTATTTGATGCTAAATTCACTATAAACACTGAAGCGGGAGGCTGTCCATTGTCCAGGAGATGATCAGGTCATGATAATCCCTATCACCTGAACTTGCCCGGTTCATTTCACTTCCCTGAGTCTCAGTTTCTCCATCACGAAACGGGAGAAATAGCAGTGCCTGCCTCCTGGTGCCGTTGTGATTTTGTGAGTACGTGTAAAATGCGTAAGTGGGGCTGGCCCAGAATAAATGTTCAATATATGTCAGGTATTGCTAGCATCTTCATAATTATTCTTGCTTCCTTTCTATAGTTTTGAAATTACATAAAGTTACACCAAATTAAAGGAAATTTGTAGCTCTTCCCTTGTAGGGATCAGTACTAGATAATCACAAATGGTACTAAAAAATGACATTTGTACACGAGGAGATATTCATCTCTCTCCTGGATGCCTGCAAAAGCCCTCCTAACTGGTGTGTCTGCATCCAGTCTTACTGTACCCCCGAATTTGTTTTCTATCCTACAACCAGAGGGCTAGTTTTACTTCTCTTTGCTAAGGACCAGGAGCGAGCCTGCAGGGCTGCATCATCTGGCCCTGGCTTCCCTTTCCAGTGTTTCTCACGCTGGCTCTGACTTTCAGCACCAGCTGCATGAACCTTAGCCAATTCCAGAGGGCTTTCAGGGCTCAGCTCCTGGTCTCCTCTGGGAGGCCCTTGCTGGCCCCAAGGTCAGACCACCCCTGTCATCTGCTCACCTGGAGCTCTGCAACTTCCCTTTCAGCACTCGGCCTCATTCTGGGGGCCTCAACCTGCCGTGCCCACTTCCCCAACAAGAGCACTCGCTGTGTGCCGCTCAGTAAGGAGCCCCCAGGGCCAGTCCTGCCCCCGAAGGGGGGGGGGTCCCATGAACGGATGAAGAGAGGGCTAACAGCTCTACCTCCTGATTCGGTAACTGGTAGGCCCATTGTCCTTCTCACTGATAAGATATGGCAGGAAGAGATTATTGCAGAGACCAAAAAAAAAAAAAAAAAAAAGTCAGAAATCTGTTTATCTCACATAAATGTGACTCCACGAGTGATCCTCATCATCTGAACATGCATTATTCAAAACCCTTGTTACCAGGTTGCTAGGGAAGTGGAGCGGCATCAAATAAAAATACTCAATAATGAGTAGATTCTTAAAAAAAGTCATTTAACACTGTCCTCTGCTTAACATAGGCATCTCCAAACACCATCTTCCCTCTTTAAGACTTTTGATGGCCCAGTGTTATATAATGTGACGTTAGTGGAAAGAGCAAGACAGGCAGGGTTTCAGGAAGTTCATGCATGTGATGCAGGAGCACTGATCAAACCACAGCAAAGCAGAGGTGGACGTGATAAACCCCTGAGCAACCCAAAAGGGAAAAAAGGATAGTAAGACAACAGTGCTCCTAGAGAAGGCGATCTGACCACGAAAGCATGAAGAAATCTCTCGAGGAATCTTTTCTTAAAAATGACACTCTTGGGGCACCTGGGTGGCTCAGTCGGTTAAGCATCTGCCTTCGGCTCAGGTCATGATCCCAGGGTCCTGGGATCGAGCCCCGCATCGGGGTCCCTGCTCCACGGGAAGCCTGCTTCTCCCTCTCCCTCTGCCCCTGTCCCCCTGCTCATGAGCACGCGCTCTCTCTCTCTCAAATAAATAAATAAAATCTTTTTTAAAAATGACATTCTATTAGCCTTGTGTAAATGTCAAATATGCCGTAATGTTAAAAAGGCACTATCAAATAACTGTTTGTGAAGAAATGATTTCCAAGAAACAAGGTAACCCCGAATGATTGGCTATAAGAATGAGCACTTAAGGGGCGCCTGGGAGGCTCAGTCGGTTGAGCGTCTGCCTTCGGCTCGGGTCATGGTCCCGGAGTCCTGGGATTGGGCCCCGTGTTGGGCTCCATGCTCGGCGGGGAGCCTGCTTCTCCCTCTCCCTCTGCCTGCCTGCCTCCTTGTAATCTCTCTCTCTCTGTCAAATAAATAAATAAATAATCTTTAAAAAAAAAAAAAAAAAGAATGAGCACTTAAATTTTACTGAAAACAAGAAAACTTATTTTCATAATTTTATACTCATATTTTAAGGTAAGACCCCAATCAAAACTTCCTGTCTGCCATTTACCCGAACACTTGTTTCTATTTTAAGTGGGTGCATCAAACATGTTGGTATTCTTGGATGAAGGCAACCCATTCATACCTAATGATACATGATCTACCTGCCACGAACACACAGCTTACAAGTCATCAGCTTCCTGAACCTGGCGTATTTTGTTTGCTTACACATCCACAGGCACCATGGATTTTTGTTTATTTGGCCAGAGAACAATGAATTAGGTATAAAGGGTATTTCTCCTTGGTTTAACTGCAACCACTGTCAAGGCACTTACTCGAGGCTGATCACCAGAGACAGTCATGGGCAGTATGTGCATCTTCCAAAGCATACACCTAGAAATGCATCTCCTTTCTTTAAGCTTAATTTTCAAAAACCAGCGTAGACACAGTACCTGTTAGCACCTTCCCTTTTTTCCTATAATAAACACCAAAGATGACAGCAGCAACCAATGCCACGGATATGAAGAGAAGCAGAATAATTAAACTGGGCAAGTAAATCGGGGGTTCTGCATTGGAAGAAAATGAGAAAAAGGTGTTAAAGAGTATTTAATTTAATTCTCTGATTATTTTCATTCTTGTTTAAAAACAAAACCCTCGGGTGCCTGGGTGGCTCAGATGGTTAAGCGTCTGCCTTCGGCTCAGGTCATGATCCCAGGGTCCTGGGATCGAGTCCCGCATCGGGCTCCCTGCTCCTTGGGAGCCTGCTCCTCCCTCTGTTTCTCTCTCTCTCTCTCTCTATCATGAATAAATAAATAAAATCTAAAAAAATTAAAAATAAAATAAAATAAAATAAAAACAAAACCCTCTGAGTCAAGGCCCAGAATCAAGGATGTTGGTCTGGCATCGGAGAAGGAGGACGGTCCCTGACTCTAGGTGTGAGGAGAGTTTGCTCACTTCCAGAAGGGCGAAACCACACTGCAGCCAGCCCCATGCTTGGCGTCACTCCGCGGGAGGCCAGCCCATGACCATCTTTAAAAGTGGCTACTTTAGGGGGCGCCTGGGTGGCTCAGTCGTTAAGCGTCTGCCTTCGGCTCAGGTCATGATCCCAGGATCCTGGGATCGAGCCCCGCATCGGGCTCCCTGCTCGGCAGGAAGCCTGCTTCTCCCTCTCCCACTCCCCCTGCTTGTGTTCCCTCTCTCGCTGTGTCTCTCTCTGTCAAATAAATAAAATCTTTAAAAAAAAAAAAAGTGGCTAGTTTAGGGGCGTCTGGGTGACTCAGATGGTTAAGCGTCACCTTTGGCTCAGGTCATGATCTCGGGGTCCCGGGATAGAGTCCCGCATCTGGCTCCCTGCTCAGCAGGGAGTCTGCTTCTCCCTCTGCCTGCCGCCCCAACCCCCCGCTTGTGCTCTCTCTCTAATAAATAAATTAAATCTTTAATAAATAAATAAGTAAAAGTGGCCACTTTATCACAACTCTAATTGTCTTGACCACGCCATCCAGTTCCATCTTTGCTTACCTACAGAACACCTCAATCTCTCCAGGTGGATGGCCTCTGAGGCCAAAGGAAGCCCCTTATCATATCTCTTTCCAAAGAACAACGTGGCACCAGGGTTCTGCTGGTCATGAGAACAGAACCACAGCCATCCTGCGAAGCGTTTCAGTATTTCATCTACAACACAACATGGACTTAACCATTTCTCCCATCCTCCTTGATCGCTTCCTTGCTAGAACCTTTATATTATGAAGTCTTGGTTTATGTGCCCTGGTTTCTGGGAGTCTCACCTCTCCACTCCTTCTCTTTTGTTTAAAGTAACTTTTTATTCCCTCCGTTATTTTCAATGTTATCTTTAAAATGGTCTTTTTTACATGCTACTCTGGGTAACTCCATATCCATAATGCTTAGATATCCTCCTGTTTCCCAAAATGTCAAATCTAAACCCCTGATTTTCTTAGTTCTTTAACCCCATTAAACCGTGGCCTGGCTTCTTCCTGCCGTGTGTCCATTTCCAGCGTTGCCTATCTGGACCCAGCTCTGCACAATCTCACGCCCCCAGGCAACCAGCATCCACCATGAACTGTCAACTTTCTTTCAGGCTTTGAAACTGTACTTAAGATAAACTTGATCTACAAAATGTGCCCTACATAATGATAGCTATATTCTAACCCTGGTTGGTGACCAAAACCTCCCACAGACACCCCCACTGGGACCGCCACAATCCTGCCATATTTGGGCATTTTAATTCACGTTTGTAGCTCAGTTTCTGTTCTTTCTTTTCTTGTATATACGGATTCTTTATTAGTTATCCATTTCAGAGCAGGAAATTTTCAAGTAACAACATATCTGGAGTTAAAATACTGATAAAATTGACCACAGCTAAGATGGTCTTGATGAAGAGGGAGAGGTGAACCCCTTCAGACACAGCATGTAATTCGGAAGAAATCTAGAATTGCTGACTAGACTGGGCACATCTACAGCCAACGAGCTCTGTTTAAACATACCTCTTGGAGGCTTTGCTGATGACAGAGAAGAACTACAAACCACATCAGATTTATCCGTCCCATGATGTACTTCTGCCTCTCCAAGAATGCTACAGCTGTAGAGGTAAAGGTAGTTAAGTGCTTTGCTTTTATAATCTTTCTTAAAAAACAAAACAAAACATGTACTAAAAGGCTCTACTCTGCTAGATTGCTAGCTTCTTCAGGAGAAGAACTGAGAGGTCTTCCTGCATGTTTGAATTCCCAGTGTCTGTCCACACCTCGGAAGGGTGGACCAATGAATACGCAAAAGTAAGCACCACCAGGATTCTCTAAGAACCACTCTGACACTATGGTCCAAAAGAGCGTGTATTGGTGTCCTCGGTGAAGAAGATTCCAAATGCCTCAATTGCCTTTGGTAGAGTGATAAACTTTTGATGAAAGCTCTTTTGAAGCTGAAAACACAAAAAATCTTTTCAACATCCAATAAAACTTGGATAAGTGGATCAGAAAATAAGTATCTAATGAGAATTAATATATTGCGGGGGGACGCCTGGGTGGCTCAGCTGGTTAAGCATCTGACTCTTGGTTTCAGCTCAAGTCATGATCTCAATGTAGTGAGATCGAGCCCCGTGTCAGGCTCTGCACTCAGCAGGGAGTCTTCCTGAAGATTCTCTCCCTCCCTCTCCCTTAGCCCCTTGCCCCCACTCTCTCTCTCTCTCTAAAATAAATAAATAAACCTTTAAAAAAATATTAGGACTATATTAGTATTTAATTATAAGCATGCAATGGAAGGACCCAGAAATTCCTCTCTCTATATAGATATATATGTATATATCTATATATATATATACACACACACTATATACATATAATTCCACTACATACACACACATACACACATACTCACATTAAGTGTGAAACCCAGTATATATATATGATGATTCATTGCAGAATTATTTATTACCATGACAGACTAGAAACTACCTGAATGACTACCAATAGGGAATTTATTAAGTAAAATTAAGGTACATCTTTATGGTACATCTCTACCAAGATAAATTACGGTACAAACCAAGAGTTGGCAGCAAATGTCTTCTAAGCTACAAGAAGCCATGAAGATCTAAGTGAACAAATACAGAATGAGCTTCCTTTAGCATATATTATGTTAAAAAAACCCAAGGTGTTTAGCATATGCAAACATTTATATACACAGGATACCTCTCTTTGCACACACACTACACACACACATTTCTGGACCAACAAACCAGTGATGCAGGGAAGCTGGGAAGCATGGGAGTGGCGAGTGAAGGATAATAAACATTGTAAATCATTTTCAAGTAACCAAAGTCAGTAAAAGGACAAAAGAAGCTGCAACTGTAAGTCAAAGATTTGGTCCAACTGAATCTGAAAAGCAGTATGGAGTTCCTATCGCACATGAGGCTGAAGGTGAGTTGGACTGGCTTATTTTCCCCATGCCGAATTGACAGAATTTTCCCATTCTGAAACTGGGTTTGAGCGGAAGCCTCACCAAATGGAATCAGTCCGGCTTCAACCTAGTCTTGAGACAGTTCAGGTTGAGTATAAAATCAACACACTCTCCTGGCTCCTCTGCAGTTGCCACTTACTTGGTCCAGGGTTTGCATTTCTCGGTGGAAGAAAAGGCATCAGAGAAGTAGCCCACTAGGCAGGGCTTGCAAATAGTGTCCTTGTTGAGCTGCACTGTCAAAAAAATGAACGGACAAAGGACAAGCATAACAAACAAGGACACTTAGAGATCGGCCAGGATGATGTTCCTGAGGACCAGAGATCAGGAGCTGCCCCCTGTGCCTCTGGCCCCCCATTCCCATCCCTTTCCTCCTGGCTTCAGAGGGCCCCGGTCCCAGCAGAAGGTTACAGACTTGTGTTCAGCAAGGTAACGAACATCAGTATTTGAGTTAGGTACTGACCCTTGGCTGTTCAGAGCCACTGTCCTGGTCACCGATCCTCTGTTTCCTAGCTGGGGAGCCTGCTGTCTCCTTTATTTTCACCAGGCACATGTCTGCCCACCCCTTTCAGCCTTTTGGGATTGTATCAGTCTTCGTCTACAGAGAATCACAGCCCTTTTCCTGCCTTGAAGGGAAACTTCCTGTCCTGACTCCTTCGAACCCAGATAAGTCTTCAAACACTAGAGTGATGGTAACACACTTTTTTCAAACAAAAACAAACCCCCCTCAAAAAAAAAAACAAAGGCCATACAGTAAATATCTTAGGTTTTGCAGGGCCTCTGATTTCTGCTGTAATTACTTGCAGCATGAAAGCATCATAGACAATATGTAAACAAAGAGACGTGCCTGTGTTCCAATTGAACTCTATTTATACCAACACAAGTGGTGGGATGGATTTTGGATCCCTGCCTTAAGCCACAGCAGTGAAAGCAGGAATTGATCCTGGTTAGGAAGCTTTCTTTAGTTCTCTCACATTCCTCACCAACTACATTATCAAAATAGGACATGTCTCCAATTTCCTACATCTACTAGCCTCACTGCAACTGACACGTGATGACCCTTTGGTAATTCCGATAAAGAAGAACATTGGCTTCCACATGGTATCATAATCAGGCAATTGACTAGTGCCAAAACCACAATTTACTCCTGAAATTAGTAGCACTTCTGTGATTTATTGTCATAAATAAAACACTAAAATAAGGAATTACATTTTCTTTGTCCAAAGTCAATGGGAAGTGCATTCTTAATTTCTGCAATTGCCTCAATAAGCAGGGTACCCCCCCAGTCTAGTAATCTGAGTCACCTTGTAATGATCTTAACAAAAGCCCAGTTAACATCTAGCTGCTCACATGAATTCAAGCAGCTTTTTACAATATTAACACAGTCTAGAAGAGTAACCCTTAAAAACAAAGAGACTTCCTAAGGAGCCACAAGTCACACATAGCCTTAAGGGCATTAAATCCATGCACTTGACTTCCACATTGACTCTTTGAAATGCTGACCTGCCAGGGGCATCCTGCAGGTTCTCCATTCCCTTTCCCCCTGACACAATCACCCTTTCCCCACTTTACAAAAGAAGGCACGCTGCTTATCCACTCCAAATCCTGCTATGCCAAAAAAACCAAAAAAAAAAAAAAAAAAAAAACCCCACAACAAATCAAAATACTGGTAACAGCAAAGCTCCTGCGATTCAGAGCCCCTCCCTACCAAAAGACTCTGCATCTTGTCTTAGAATTGAATTCATAAGGGAGTTGGCTGTCGTCGGGAGACTTATTTTAATAATTAAAAAATCAACGGATGCCTGGGTGGCTCAGTTGGTTACTCATGATTTCGGCTCAGGTCATGATCTCAGGGTCATGAGATCGAGCTCCGAGTCAGGCTCTGCACTCAGCAGGGAGTCTGCTTGAAGATTCTCTCTCTCCCTCTCCCTCAGCTACTTCCCCCCCCCACTCTCTCTCTCTTAAAAAAAAAAAAAAATCAAGTCAGACTTTTTCCAAGAGAAAGCTCATCTGGTTTCGTTGATACATTTGGTAATAAGGACTGACTGTACCAGTGAGACTCTGAGGGACATTTTCCTCCATATGAATTGAAATGAATACTATCTTAATTCTCCTAAGCCTATCCAAGTCTTCTGGGTTAAAACAAGATGGGTCTAAGTGAAAGATTAGCAGGTATGAATAATCATGTTACACCTTGAAAAAACTGCTTGGGGGTATTTTCCTGAAATCAGGAAGGTAAAGAACTCTAAGAAATACGTTTCTGGCAAAAAGATATCTATTTCTTTACTTTTAACAAAACTGAGAACACAGATGAGTTCTTAACTGAGAGATCATTAAAAACAGCTTTTGATGTCAGACCACTATGTGTCCTGGACATATAACTCAGAAAGTGTTCAAAGAACTGACTGATACTCCTCTACCAGAAGGCTTCCTTAGCCATTCAGTTATCCATGTGAACAAGTTTCTCAGCACTTAGTGGAAATAGAATTAATGTTGAAATCTGTTATTTTTTAGCAATAAATAATATTCAAGCATGAATACATGAATCAGGAAAAAAACACTCATTATTAAGTTCATAAAGCTTTTACAACTATAATATAGGAAAATATATTACTTTTTGACAATCCTGTAATAACTGTAATAACAACTTAGTCCAGAAGTGTTTTAACTCTTAAAACCTTGAGTCACAGGAAATTTTTAAAAATTACGATCTCAAATGGGTACATAGTTTTGATGTGAAAGTGCATGAAAAGGTGATTAGTAAAAGCCCTCCAAGCATAAAAACACATTAGTATAAAATTCTTTGGGGAAGGTGAAATGGATACAAATCAAAGGAAGGGACAAGAACTGTATAAATCTTCCAACAGTGCAGGACGATGAGTGCATTTTAAAAAGGATGATGGGGGCGCCTGGGTGGCTCAGTCGTTAAGCATCTGCCTTTGGCTCAGGTTATGGTCCCAGGGTCCTGGGATTGAGCCCCGCATCGGGCTCCCTGCTCAGCGGAGAGCCTGCTTCTCCCTCTCCCACTCCCCCTGCTTGCGTTCCCTCTCCCACTGTGTCTCTCTCTGTCAAATAAATAAAATCTTTAAAAAACAATAAAATAAAAAGGGTGATGGTGTTATCAAATTGCTACGGTGTTTAGATTCCATTGAATTCCATTTTTAAAAGTGTTACTGCTGTTAAAATTCCTTGGAAACTAATTCCTTAGCAACTCTTCAAGCTGGCAATAAAAAACGTTAGCTGCCAACTTTAAAATATTCCAGGGGCGCATGGTTCTTCAAAATTGTTCCGGGGGTGGGGGGAGGGATGTGCGCCAGTTAAAAAAAAAAAAGAAAAAAGAAAAAAAGAGTCTGCGGCCCCCTGCGTTACCCCTGCCCGCCTAAGGGGGGATCCCAAGGTTTCCCAGGGGGAGGAGCCTTCCGGGGGGGGAAGGGGGCCGCTCGCTCCCATTGCCCTGGAAGAGCGTAACCTGGCCCTTCTCGAGGGGCCCCTCGAGCTACTCCAGCGCCACCTGGTTCCCCGGAGCGTTAGTGACGCAGGGACGCCTCTCAAAGCCCGCTCTGGCCTGGGCGGAACTGCACGAGTCGACGAGCCGCGGGGCGCGCAAGCCGAAGCCGAAGCCGTACCCGGGTGCTGGGCGCCGAAGCCCGGGGCGCACTCCGCGTTTCGGCGGCAACAGTCGCAGTCGGCGCTCCAGTGGTAGCCGGCCGTGCACGCGCAGCGCCGCGGGGCCGTCCGGTTGCCGGGCTCCACGGCCACCAGGGCCTTGCCTGCGGGAGACAGAGACACGGCGGCTCACCTTCCACCTCGAGCACCTCCCCAGCGCGGGAGCAACGAGCAGAGCCCCGACACGCGGACGCGGCGCGCAAACGCATCCCTCAGGGCAGTAGGTTTCGAGAACTCCCCAGTCCCCTCTTCCTGTGCTGGCACTAAAACATCCCAGTAGGGTTGGTACCCTCCTCAATAATTAAGAGTCTTGGGGCCCCTGGGTGGCTCAGTCGGTTAAGCGGCTGCCTTCGGCTCAGGTCATGATCCCAGGGTCCTGGGATCAAGCCCCGCATTGGGCTCCCTGCTCAGCGGGAAAAGCCTGCTTCTCCCTCCCCCACTCCCCCTACTTCTGTTCCCTCTCTCGCTGTGTCTTCTTCTGTCAAATAAATAAATAAAATCTTAAAAAAAAAAAAAAAGCTTTAAAAAAAGTAATAATTAAGAGTCTTGTGGCTTTTTAAAAGTCAATTTTCATATTAGGAGGAGGATTAAGAACTGGAGAGTTTATGACCCTTGACTATTTTGGCTAATGCCAAAGAGACTTCACAGCTTCTTGGTTTTTAGTAAATGCAAATGTGAGAAATATTCTGAACACGAATGCTAGATTGAACCTAAGAGAATAGGGTTCTGGAGACTGGGGATTCATCTTGGGATCCTGCAGGACCACAGGAGTATTCAGAGTTGTGGAAACAGGGGCCACAGGTAATTAGAAAAGGGACCGCACTACAGAGCCTGATGACATGCTTGAAGTGAATCTCCCTAAATACTTAGGGCCACCCGTGTGTTACTTGTCTCTTTTCTCACAACACATAGCAAAGTGCTCTCCTTGTCCCAAATCTCCTGCCCTTTCCAGTTTCGGCGGAATAGAGGTCATGCTGACACACACGGTCCATCTTCATTATTTGTTGACTCCTGTTTGCAATTTCACCTACTCACTAACATTTCGGCGTCACCCCCAAATCAGTACTTCTGGCACTTTTGCAGAACTTCTTGGACACATGCAGAACAGTGGAAATTTTGAGCTACGGACGGATATTCATGCTCTCAGTTGAGGTCAAACAAGGTCACCCTCCGCCTTCTTGTTACAGCTCTTAGACTGGAAGTGAGCGTCCTTTTTGTGGTCTACTTAGTGTCCCATTTGGGGCATTTCTGCTCTTTTTGTTAGCGATTCTACTGCTTACAATGGCCCACAATCATAGTGTTGAAGTGCTGTCTGCTGTTTCCAGGCCCAAGAAGGCTGTGATGTGTCTCATGAGCAAATACATGTTAGATAAACTTTGTTCAGGTGTGAGTTACAGAGCTGTTGGTTCTAAGTTCAATGTTAATGAATCAAAATATTTACTAAGGTGTCTAAACAGAAACACACAAAAAACAAGGTTATGTGTGGATCAGTTAACGAAAATGTTGTGACTAGAGGCTCGTGGGAACCTAATCCTGTATTTCCCCTAGGAGCAATGGTTTAGTATTTGCTAGTTCAGAACACTGACATTATTCTATGAATAACAAGAATCAATCTGCGCGCGTGCGCACGCACGCACACACACACACACACACACGATGAAACACAGTAATATTATTTGAAACAGAACTTCTACCCCTATAGGACCCCCATGTCACCAGGATTGTCCCAATAACCCATGGACTTATACTCCTGAGTCCTTATAGGAGTTTGTTATGGACTGATGTTTGTGTCCTCTCAGAATTCATGTTGAAATCCTAACCCCCAATGTGAGATGGTACTAGAAGGTGCAGCCTTTGGGAGGTGATCAGGCCATGAGGTTGGGATTCGTGCCTTTATAAAAGAAACAGAGGAGAGCCTGCTTCCTCCCTCTCTGTTCTTCACGATGTGGAGACACAGCAAGAAAATAGTGTCTTGAAATCCTAAAGAGGGCTCTCACCATGAACCCAACCATGCTGGTACCCTGTCTCCCACTTCCAGCCTCCAGAACTGTGAGAAATAAATGTTTGTTGTTTAAGCCACTCGGTCTGTGCTATTCTATTATAGGAGCCTGAATGGACTAGGACAGAGGTCCAGGGGAAAAATAAACAGGCAGACCAGAACCCTGTCTCCTTCTACTGTCTCAAGTTACCACCAGCAGGGAGGGTATGTTTCCTATTTCCATTCTTTTCAGACCAGAGCATGGCGAACCTGGAGAAATCTTCCTGTGTCCCTCCCGTGTCCACTCTCTGAGGGTCATTTGCGCAGCACTGACGCCAATCTGCATAAACGTGCATAATGCACACAACAGACATGGACAAGGGTCACTCTCTTGGAAAATTCTAGTTCAACCACCCCACTCAATTATGAGTGAATGCAAGCCTGTGTGGTGATGAACAATTGTGACATATTTTAAAATATCTTAATGTACCAGGTTTGGGGCTTTAATCAACTTTGGCAGTAGACAGAATGAATCTTTATTTCCAAGGGGCAGCAGTGAGTCAAAGTCATTACTAAGCAGTGGGAAAGAAAAAGACTTGATCAGATGCTTCTGCTCAGTGGAGTTTCCATGTTACCTTCTGCGGCCATAATCTGCCAGCTATCTCTTGCCCACTAGAAAATTATAATGTTTAAAAAAAAAATACTTAACTCCTAGTTCTGTCCACTGCAGAGAACCTATGAACAAGGATCAATCCGGTAGCAACAAATCTCCCTAGCACCCAGACTGAGGTCACTAAATAAGATGTTCCACTGGAAGCAATCAGGAATTCTTAAAGAAATGGCTGATTTGAGGTTTGAGGCAGGGAATGTCCAAGATGAACCTGGAAGCAAGGAGAGCTCTTAAGGTCACCTGGGGTCATATCAAAGACTGGGGCGGGGAGGGGGGAACCTGGAAGAGGTGAGACAATCTGAGGAACCATAACCTAGGAACTGTAATAGAGTAAAACACCTCAAATATGTCTGAATGGCTGAGTTTATCATTTTTATATAAATCCTTTGGAGAAAGCATGGAGATCAAGTCATGATTTTGAAAAGTTGCAAATAAAGCTACAAACATTCATTCTGCCTCTCCCGTATATACTGTACTTCAGGGTAAGGGATAGTTGCCAAGGGAAGCTTCTCTTCATAAAGCATTCCAGCCATTCATGAAGAAGGAATGATAGAAGGTCACCTTTCTACAGCTCCTCATGAAAGTGGATCTAGGCCATGATGGTCAACAGCAGTTCATATCACAAGAAGAGAGAGAAACAGCTTCTATACGACCCCTGACATAACTACATTATGCCAATTCTGGTTTTGTAAAAAAATAAAAAAATACATAAAAATACAAACCAGGTTCTGATCGGCCTTCTAGATCCAACAACCACTTATAGGAAACATAGGAGACAGAAAATATGTTAAATGACACCAAGGGAATGCAACCAGCAGAAATCAGACTGTGACCCACAGGATTCCTGTAATCCACAGGATTCCTGTAATCCACAGGATTCCTGTAATCCACAGGATTAACAACATGGTTTCTCCAACAGAGAGATTAAATGGAAAAAAAAAAAAAAAGAAAGAGAGAGGGAAAGGAACCTCTAGGTTAAGGGACATATTTTGATTCTGATTCCTACAATTAAACTATAATTTGGGAAAAATTTTTTGAGTCCAAAAACAAAACAAAACTGTAGCAGTCTGATAAGATCAAGATAAGATCAACCATAAGACATTTATGGTTCAGGAGAAAGACTTGAGAGTAAGATCTGCTTTGAATCCTGCTTCACATTTGTTAACCTTGGAAAAGTCACCCAACCTCTCCTGGTCTCCGTTTCTTCCTTTTCTAAAATGGGATAACTGTGGCTACCCTGCAGGGTTTCTGTGGAAATTAAATAACACAACACACACAGAAACATTGTGGCAAGATTTTGTCAACTGTAACATATGTGTTCCATGATTAAACTGAGACACAATTGTATTCCAGGACGAAAGTTCTAAATGAAGAATGTTAACACGATGCTTCTGGGATCTGAAGCACTTACCTCTGGCAGTCCGAGGTCGAAAACTTCTTCCTATTCCCCCCCAAAAGAGATAGCACTCCTGTATCTAAAAATAGCACTTATCCACACTCCCCACTGGCATGACTGACTTACCCGTGTCACAAACTTTATGCAGCAAGCACTTATCTTCTTCATTCCAGGTGTCTAAGTATTCATCTGGGCCACAGGGCAAGCATACACTTTCCGAGGTAGTAGTGCATTTAGAAGACATGTACTTTCCTTCAATTAGAAGAAAAAAAAATGCAGCAATGAAAAATAACCCCCAAAATAACAACAGAACAACAAAAATACAGCAATCTACTGGACCATTTAAATGACTGTGACCCCAGGAAGTCCCCTCACACAGTATGATACACGGGATGAGGCCATATATCAGTGATGGGCTCCTCAGGTCTCCCAGCTGGCTAAAATAACCTCTCCTAGGGGCGCCTGGGTGGCTCAGTCAGTTAAGCGTCTGCCTACGGCTCAAGTGATGATCCCAGGGTTCTGGGATTGATCCCCTCCTCAGCAGGGAGTCTGCTTCTCCTTCTCCCTCTGCCCCTCCCCCTGCTTGTGCACTCTTGGTCAAATAAATACATAAAATCTTTTTTTTTTTAATTAAAATAACCTCTCCTAGACTTGCTGTGTCTATGGTCAAGGCCACCTTTTAGTTCATCTCAGTAAAAGATCATCCTTCCCACCCCACACCTCCGCTGACCAAGGAAAAGGATGATGGTTTTCAAACGTGCCTAAAAAACTTGAGGGGCAAGAATTTCATTTTACCCCTTCCCTCCCATCTTCAATATCCCCTCTACTTCAATTTGGAGTGTAAACTTCTTTTGTCCTACATCTACTGTGGGCCCTCGGTTAACAGAAGGACCAGAGTACCCCCCCCCCACACACACACCTGCACGCTCACAAAAATCACTGGTCTTGGTTCTGTACATCTGAGAAATATTTATAGCTTGAATATCTAAAGGATCTTGATGTAATGTAACCACCGTTTCTAGAACAATGAGTGAGTGAGGAACCTGCGGACTCTCACTGAGGCTGTAGAAATCCTCGGCTACATTCTGGCAATGCAGATAGGAGGAGGTAACCAGTCCACCTGCCTCTCAACAGGTATGTGAGAAGGTATAATAGGGTTTAGGCAATTTGCAGAAGCAAAAACTCCAGTATGGTTATTCCCCCCAGAATTTTTTCTGTAAAATACTTTTAAATTGCATTTTATATGTCAAAAGTTTGAATTGCAAAGTGCTAAAATATGGTTTTGGTTTTTGTTTTAAAACCTTGCTTTCTCAAGAAATAGTATTTTGGAAAACTGTATTCCAGCATACATTAAGTACTAGTTTCTGCAACGGCTTTTAAGTGATTTTTATCTATTGAAAGGTTTTTATCTTCAGGGTGACACACATTACTACCTGCCACTACCATAGAAAGTCTACGCAATTTCTTTTTTTTTTTAATCTGGCAGGATTGAAATTATTCCTTGGATTAAAAAAATAAATGAGAGCCCCACCCACTTTTGAGGAACAAGGAAAGGTGGCTCAGAAATACAAACCTGGTTCACATTTATTACAGCATCGTCCGAAATGCTCATAATGCCTCTCACGGGTACACGGAGGGGTGATCTGAAAAGTTACCTGAAGAGAAAATTGACATCAGGTAGAGATTTTGTACAAGTCCCTTCTGGATAAAATAAAAAGTGAATCACTGAATTCCATTTCTGAAAAGCATAAGAAAATACCATAAACAGTCCTGAAATTGCTCTGTGTGATATTACCTCCCCCCCAAATGTCACTTTCCTACACTAGCGCATTCCCCACTAAGAATGTATAAAGCCAACTGATACTGGCTTAAAAATCCATTAAAGCATTTAAAAATATTCTGGTTATGGGGCACCTGGGTGGCTCAGTCAGTTAAGTGTCTGACTCTTGGTTTTGGCTCAGGTCATGATCTCAGGGTCCTGGGGTCGAGCCCGGCATACTGCTCTGCGCTCAGTGGGAAGTCTGCTTGAGGATTCTCTCCCTCTCCCTCTGCCCCTCCCCCTGCTCATGCTCTCCCTCTCTCTTCCTCTCTCTCTAAAATAAATAAATAAGTCTTTAAAAAAATATTCTGGTTATGCTCATGGTAATATGATGGATTATGGTCACACGGTGGACAAATGCTCATCTACTTTGGTCACAAAATTGTAGAACACAAGGAGGACCCTTCATATATGTATTATATACCAGGGATGTCAAATTTGGTCTTACACACTTATCTCTGATTTTTAAAAAGTGTTTAATACTGCTTACCTTTTAAAATTTATTTTTTTAAAGATTTTATTTATTTATTTGAGAGAGAGAGAGTGAGAGAGAACATGAGAGGGGAGAGGGTCAGAGAGAGAAGCAGACTCCCCACTGAGCAGGGAGCCCGATGTGGGACTCAATCCTAGGACTCCAGGATCATGACCTGAGCTGAAGGCAGTTGCTTAACTAACTGAGCCACCCAGGCACCTCTACCTTTTAAAATTTAAACATGCATAGGATTTTTTAAAGTGGGACAGCAAGGTGTCATAGGAACCCTGCAGGGTTGGAGCTCAGAGTCCTGGCTGAGGGAGTCCTCACCGCCTGCTGGCTGAGGGGAACCCCCCTCCCCGACAAGCTGCTTAAGCTTTTTGAGCCTGTTTCATTTCTGTATGATTCTAGTACAATATAATTTCAAATCTGCCCGTCTACGTAAAACAAAACAAAAAGCCAAGTCCCCTGCAGTCACTCAGAGATTCTTATCACTTTGCCACAGAAAAGCTCTTCTCTGCATCAGCTTTCCCAGATGAGAGAAACAACAACAGTCCTGTTGACAGGCGGTCACGCTGGACACTGAGCAGTGCAACTAGCCGACCAGCTGGGCCTGGCTGAACAGACATCAAATGCTGCTGACCAAGGATCAAGTTCCCTGCTGGGTGTCAGGGATCCAGAGTTACAAACCTTGCCCTCAAGGGGCTTACACACACAAGGGGGTTTACTACCCTACCCTCCCCCCCACCCCCCTGCAGGGGCAGATGGGCCCCTACCTCAGCTGGAGAAGGTCAGGGAGTGTGTCCTAAGGGATGTGACAAGTGAGCTCAGTCTGCAGGATAAAGAGAAATCGGCCAGAAGAGGGAAAAGAAACTGGCAGGGGGAAGGTGGGGGAGGGGCAGGGAAGACTACTTAAGACCGTGTGAACAATTCAAACAGAGGCACTGGGGCCTGCAATGGTATGTGGGATAGGGGTGGCAACAGAGGCCCATCAGCAGAGTGGTGGGAGACAACACAGAGCTCACAGAGGGCTTCATTGGCATACTGGATTGAAGGTGTAGAAATAACAGAGCTTAGAAGAAGCCATGCATCCTAAAATACCTCAGTTACAGGAGGAAATTTTATTAAGAGAGCACCACACCCCAAAAACCCTAGGCTAGTTGAGTGGGGTGTGAGGGACACAGCCAACGTGGACCTCTCTGACCCCATCCTGGCCAGGCAAAGGGCTTACGGGGTGGGGGTGGGGTGGGGGGCAGGGACAGTTACACTGAGGTCAATGAGAAGGTCAAATGTGTTCCTGGAGCCAGCTGTGTCAGGAAGGTTGTCTTTGGACCAGGTCGGGCCGACACTCCCCGTGGACACGGGATACTGCGAATTGGATGCTCTCCATGCCTTCACTGCAGGATGAGGGCTGAAGGACAAGAACAGTGAGCCCAGTGGAAACTAGCAAGAATGACCCAACAGAAATCACCCCTCCTTCCTCTTCTCTTTCTCTTTTTGTTTTTACAGGAATCCGCTTCTCCGTAGGCACCCCTTGTCTGCGTCTAGGACGGTAACGGATGCAAGTGGAAGAAAGATGAGCAGAAGCAAAATGGTAAAGCTGAATGTGGTCAATGCAAATTTGAACAGATTGGATTCCTCTGAGCCTAATGATAAGCGAACGCTCCTGCCATGTTGATGACAAAGGCAAACAAGAGAAATATGTGGTTGGGCCTCATTTCAGATGATAAAGGTTATCAATTTCTTCTGACCCATATGAAAGTTGCAACAGTCTCTGTAAGATAAGCACAGGCTTTATGTTACACACAGAGAGGTTCTTTTTAGGGGAATTTGGTAAGAGGGCTACCCCATGTAGCGGCTGGCTGCTTAGCACACTGTCAGGCTTCTGGCTATGTCCTAGGCTCCAAATCCGGGTTCCTGTTGAGCACCATCTGACGTGAACAGGTGGACAATTTGTTTACCCGTTTAGGAGTGTGGCCGTGATCCACTCAATCCATTGTTTAACCCGGGGGTTTTACACCTCCTGGCAAACAGGGGGAAGTCTACTGATTCCAGAGGTGACCAGATGTCTCAGCATCTCCTAAACAGAGTTTCACAGACTGTTCCTTAGAACTCATCTCTCTCTCCTAAGCTTACTGTGAACATATAACTCACATAAAATTCACCCTCTGAGAGGGTACATGTCAGTGGTTTTCAGTATATTCACAGGGCCGTGCAACCACCATTGTTATATAATTCTGGAACATTTTTATCAACCCCAAATCGACATATCTACTTGACAGAGCTATAGGATTACAGATCTTTTAAGAAGCAGCACCAATTTTGCTACTGGAAAATCTGCAATGGTGAGGCAGAAAATTAAGGTATTAATCTAATTTGAGGTACAACTCAAACAGAATGTTATTTTGTTCTTTAGGCACATTATATACTTTGCAGTATGCCTTCAAACCTTCAAAATGGCAATGCATCTACAACTTAAAAGGCTACATTAAAGGAAATGTGTTTGGGGGTAAATAAAAAGAATCTGGAAAATTCTCTTTGAATGCCTGTACATTCAGGAGAAGGCAAGCCATGCCTTTGTCCTTTTTCCTCTTCCTTCCTAGTTCTCTCTACCAACTAACTTTCCCTCCACTTGCAGAGATGCAGTTCCAGGCTGAACCCTCGTACTAGAGGACTCTGCAGCTCCCCAGACCTGCGGCAGCTGCCTTGTGCTGATCTCACTCCGATCCCACGCTCCACTCCCAGGAACAGGCTCCAGGCTGCTCTCTGAATCGCAGTACCTGTGTTTGAACGATTAGGAAATCCAGATCTCTGATTTGCTGGCCTGTCTTGTTTCTGCTGGTCCCCTGGGGACTTGTCTCAAGGTGCTGCAGGCCAGACTGGCTCTACCTGCCTGCCTCCCAGCTTCCAAGTCCCCAAGTCCTGCCTGCTAGGGCTTGGTTTCCAGTTAGCCTGCGCTAGATCTCCTTTATGCACTGGAGCTCCTGTATGCCAATCTCCTTCCGCCTGGATGCCTTGCCAGGTACATCCTTTGAATGCCATGTTTGGGTGTGAATGAATGGATGCCCACTAGCCCCTCCCAGTTCCATCCCTCCTTTTGCCTACAGATTTTGGTCCTGATGTCTACCATCTCACCAGGCCCCTGGAGTCCCTGCTGGTCCTCAAGCCTTCCCTTCCAACTGCTCAGAATTGGGGCCTAACTCCACCCTCCAAGACCAAGCCCTCAATGGTTGAGAGGTGGTGGCTGTTATTACTGATAGCAATGGTAGTAAGGCAGTAATTTGATAAAAAGCTGTTCCTGCTCCAGTGTTACAGAATAGGGGAATAGGGACTAGGGGAATTTAGCCTAAGGCTGCAGTCAGTGGGGTGATTTCTTAGCCCACCTACAGTCTCCTTTTTTGCTCAAGATGCAAGAGCAAAAGGCTTTTGGTAACTGAATTGAGATACACAACCTTTTCGTCATCTAATCTTTTTTTCCCCAGTTCTCCTTTAAGAATGACTTGTTTCCTTCTAAAACAATAGAGCTTTTGAACCGTCGCTGTTTTCATTAAACAAATAAAGCGGAACCACTTTTTAAATTTCTAGTTATTAGGGGCACCTGGGTGGCTCAGTTGGTTGAGCGTCAGACTCTTGGTTTCGGCTCGGGTCATGATCTCTGGGTCGTGATCTCGGGGTCGTGAGTTCCAGGTCCATGTCCAGCTCCACACTCAGTACTGAGTCTGCTGGAGATTCTCTCTTCCTCTCCCTCCCTCTTTCTTCTCCCTCCCCCCACACTCCCGCAGCCACTCTCAAGAAAATGTCTAGTTATTAAATAAAGAATACAGTAACGTGACACAAAATTCAAAAGTAACAACAGGCTTTGGGGGAAGTCGCCCTGCCGCCCTTCTCCCAACCACTTCTCCTAGTAGGATCAGTGCGACCGTTCCCTTGTGCATCCCTGGGCAGGTGTAGGGGAGAACTGACCTGTGATCCACTGGGGAAACTATTCTACAAAACAACTGCTCTGGAGGCCAGCCTGGGATCAGGTCTGTCTGTAGCACTTGTGTTTGGGGAATACAATGGTTCTTATAAGTCTTAGTGGGGGGAAAAAGCCAAAAAAACAGCCGTGGGGACGCCTGGGTGGCTCAGTTGTTAAGCGTCTGCCTTCGGCTCAGGTCATGATCTCAGGGTCCTGGGTTCGAGCCCCATGTCGGGCTCCCTGCTCAGTGGGAAGCCTGCTTCTCCCTCTCCCACTCCCCCTGCTTGTGTTCCCTCTCTCTATATCAAATAAATAAATAAAATCTTAAAAAAACAAACAAACAGCCATGTATTGACAGGGTCCTACTACAGTTCTTATAACCTACTAAAATGAGGTCTGGCCCACAGAGTTTATGTCAACGAACCTTTGTTTTCTAATAGACTCCCCCTGAATTAATAAGGAACACTAGAGTCTGTTTATAGCAAATAGTCTTTACGTTGCCCACCCACCCGCATAAATTCCTTGGAAAGTCCTAAAAAAAGGAGTTAAAATGGCAAGACGATATACTTAATTCATTTGCCTTCTGTTGCTTGACTTTCTTGTATGTTTTGTGTCGTGTGTATGTTTTTTCCAAGGCATACAGGCTGCTGTTTATTTTGACAGACAACAAACTCGTCTTGAACAAGCACGTCCACAGCCGGTGCAAGGCTTTGGGAGGCAGGGGCAAGATAATAAATGG